CACTGCAATTTTAACCCTCCTCAATGCTTCATGGACCGGAGAATCTGACCACACAGAACCCGGATCTACGAAATGGGTTAGGTGACTCAAAGTCGACGAACTCTCACTGCAAATTTAACCCATCCCAAGACCTCCGTCGCAGTGAGGGGTTCGGGAACAGTATGCTTGGCATCGCGGAAATAAGCCCCTAATACTGTTGATTCGACACTTTGCCAAAATCCAAGTTGGAGATGCCAAGAGTTTGCTTATGAAATCGTGTTGGTTCATGAATGGCGTACTTGACATCAGATCATGTTCTTGTTTCTCAAACTTGCATCTGTAAAGTATCCAAGTTTCAAGCTCATGAAAGCAGAGACGACTCTCCAAAATGGACACAATTGTTCCCGCGCCGAATCAGGCTCAACATGAGCCGGATAGCTTGAATGAGAAGAAGGCTCAAACTGAGTCCCCAAGTGACTCACCTCGACCAGATGTTGAACAATCCGAACTTGAAGATCAATCACAACGCTTACCATTCCTCCGTCTTCTGCTCGCCTACCTCTGTCTTTGCTTCTGTTACTTGATCTCTTACCTAGACATGAACTCCGTCGCAACATCCCTTCCAACAATCTCCTCAGCTCTGGATGCCGGTCCAACTGTTACATGGGTCGGAACGTCATACCTTCTAGGTCAACTCTCCTTCCAACCTCTGTACGGCAGAATTTCCGATATTACCGGCCGAAAGCCTGTTTTGTTATTTTCTATGGGATGTATCGTCGTTGGTGGCGTCTTGTGCGGTTTTGCACATACGCCAGTTTGGTTATACGTCTGTAGAACGATCAGTGGTATTGGTGGTGGAGGCATCAGCTCTTCAGTTGCGATTATTGTAAGCGATTTGGTGAGTTTGAGATCGAGGGGGAAGTATCAAGGTTTCATTAGTCTTGCTATTGGTATTGGTGCCGCTTCTGGTCCTTTTGTGGCTGCTGGATTGATTCAGATGGGTACTAATGGTTGGAGATGGGCGTTCTGGGTCCCTGCTATTATGGGTGGCGTCTGTTTTGTTCTTCTGATGTTCTTTCTACCATTGAAGCCTGTGTCTGGAAGCTTCAAGGAGAAGGTTCGGAAGATTGATTGGTGGGGAGTTATGGCTTCTATTGCTGGAATTGTCCTGACAGTCGTAAGTCCCTCAACCCTAAGGCGATAATTCTCTAACAGTATCCAGATGTCCATCAACTCTGGGGGAAGCATGTGGGCATGGCAGAACGCGAAGACCATCTCTCTCCTGACGATTGGCATAATCATGCTGCTGATCTTCATTATTATCGAAGCGTACTTCGCTAGGATCCCCATTATTCCTCTTCGACTCTTCAAACAACGATCTCCATCAGTACTCATCCTTACAGGTTTCTTTCACGATTTCGCCTGGCAGTCAACGCAATACTTTATCCCACTTTATTACCAGACTGTTCGTGGTTTCTCGCCATTGAAGAGTGCTACATTGATTGTACCGTTCTTGCTTGCTCAAGGCATAGCTGGTGCTGCCTCGGGGCCTTTGATGGCCAGGCATGCTAGGTAAATATTATTCTTTCTCGGGGAGAAAAGACGAGAACTGATGTGTTGGTAGATACATGCCCATTTTGCGGGCTGGTTTCACAACCTGGACTCTAGGCTCTGGTCTCAAACTTCTCTTCAACCAGAACACGCATATTGCGATATACATCGCAGTCCTAGCTGTCGAAGGGGCAGGGATAGGATGGGTTCATCAGCCAGGTAGGCCTACCACAGTCATTCCACTCTTACAATCTTGAGTGGATCAACTGACAGGCGTTCAGGGCTCGTAGCGCTACAAGCCAACTCAGCAAACGAAGACCGTGCCGTAGCAACAGGCACCCGCAACGTCTTCCGCTCGCTAGGCGGTGTCGTCGGAATAGCTGTTTCGACAGCTACTTACTACGCAGTTCTACAGAAAGCTCTACAACAGAATGCCACGATTCCTGAATGGCTGCGCGACAGTATCCTGGATGGTACATGGTCCGCCAGTGATCCTGTTACTAAAGACTACGAAAGTGCCATCTTGAGCGCTCGTATGCAAGGCTTTAGAGTCATTTTTATTATCACCGTACCTTTGATGGCACTATGCTTGGGGGCGAGTTTCTTGGTGGACGATATTGTCCTTAAAGGTGATTCTGCTCAGCAAGAGAGACGAGATGAGTCTAGCGAGGGTCGAGAACAGGCCACCGCTTCAAGATTGAGAAGCGATGAGAAACGCAGCTGATTGAATATCTCGAATGGAACGTTGTAAGTTCGTCAATAGCTTCGATGGATAAGAGAAGGCGAGAGGGTGAAGCAAGGAAGTTTATCATGTCGTTTGTCATGGAATTGAGGGTGGGTCGGGTATGCTGCCTGCGCAGCCAAACGGTAAGGTAATCGATTATCCGCAGCGGTCATCAATAGCGCGATCAACATTTCCCGGTAAAGGACTGGATCAGCAACCGTAGCATCGCTGATGTTCCCTTTATCTGACCAATTCACGCGCGCTTCGGATGCCTCATTCTATGCACAGCCACTTGCTCCTCCCCGCTCATGCATGTGATATGTCTGCGCCTTGTATTTACCGCATAAGCTTATGGCCATGATATGATAGATGAACTGCGATTAACTCGATCCGCCGCTTTCTTCAAGTAATTACATGTGTAGCATAATGGCATTGCGCATTTTGGTGTTTTGTTGAGACCCTTGCCCGTAATTTGTATATTTCCCACAGGCGAGACATTTGCAGACAGCTATGGATCAGCCCTACCGGAGACGCCGCAAAGCTCACATATAAAATACCGCTTGATCGCCAAGTCAGTATAAATCATGAAGTTCGAATGTTTTTTCTTTCAAACATACATCTGATAAGCAACGAATTACTTACCACAATCACAATGGTTATCACCAGACTTTCTACCCTGAAACAATGGGCCCCATTCGAGATTGACGCGCTCGGTCTCGTCACCATGCTTGGGGCCGAAGAGATGAATCTAGTCATCGGACAACTCACTCAGAACACCTATACAGAGTGGCTGCCACTACTAGGGGCATATATCATCGCCAATGATCACATCACGGAGCCGATGCCTGGTTTCACCCTCTACAATATCACGGACGGAATAGTCGCAACAGATTTGGCCGGATGGTTCACCCGGTGGCTGGTATGTCAAGATTTGACAGTTTGTTCCTCTACTATTCGAATTTTACCAGTTGAAGCGAAAGAAAGGAGCTTGAAATGGTCTTACGCTCTGGCTGGCCTCATTCCAGGGCTTATCATACTCGCCGGTCTTATGGGCGACTGGTGGGGTGTGGTCAATGGCGCAGCGATGCTTATTTCCGTGCTGGTCCGTCAGATTGTCGTAGGCAGCAATCGTCGCTCGCTGGATGCTGCCGTGGAAGCTATAAAGAGCAACGATGAAGTTAAAGCCCTCATCTCGCTGCCGAATGGCCGACTAGTCACCATCTACACCAGCAGAGGAATTGTCATGGATTGCTTACTGACTACTCCCCGTCCTCTGAACCCCAAGTTCTATAACGCAACGCGGACCGTCGGCTGGGCAGTTTTTGGTGCACATGTCATATCACTGGGCATGGCCAGCCTTTTCTGCCAGATATATGCTGTTTTACTGTTGCTTGTACCAACTGTACTAGTAGCGAAGCTGGTGGGAAACCAGGATACTGAGATTGGCCGACGACTATCGATGAAGCGAACTGATTCGCTCGTTCGATTTCGGGCTGCTGCTTATGCAAGGCTTGAATTAACACAAGTTCAAGAGGACGCGATGGTGGCATGGCATCTGTTCCCTTTGCGAAGTAACACAGACTGGTGGAGCAAGTATGAGAAGATCAGAGCTGATGGTAATTTTGAGAATTGGGATAATGTCCTTGCTCAGTAGGGAATTGAACGGGCGTAATACTAGCATATATATATTTAAAGTGGCTCAAAAAATGAATTGACTGAATACTGATCGAGTGGGAATGCCTTTTCAAACTGTCAAAAATGCGACCGAGACAACAAGACCAGGTGAGATGAGATAAATAAATGGTGGGTGGAGTGGAGATTAACAAAAAAAAAAAGCTGATAGCGGCGCTGGAGCGATGCTCCCA